GTAGTTGCACCGTGGCTGAAGAGCCCAACTGGTGTGATCTTACTGCAGAATCACACAAGGGTTGGAGTTGGAAGGAATCTTAAGGATGATACAGTTCCACCCCCTGCCATGGGCAGGGACACCTTCCACTAGCCCAGGTTGCTCCAAGCCCTGTCCAACCTGGCCTTGGACAGTTCCAGGGATGGGGCAGCCACAGCTTCTCTGGGCAACCTGTGCCAGGGCCTGCCCACCCTCACAGGGAAGGATTCCTTCCATATATCCAACCTAAATGTCACCTCTTTCCCTCTGAAAAAAGTACTTTTCAGTACTGAATGGTATCACTGAAAAATATAAAATCACTGCTGCTCTTCAGATGCACCCAGAAAATGTAAGTGGAGAACTGGGGGTATCCTTTTGATGCTCTGCCCTTTTTCTCTCAGCATCTTCCCCCTCTGCTGTCTTGTAGGTTCAATGAGATAAACTGAGCAACCTGAGCCACCTGGAATAGTGGAAGATGTTCCTGCCCATGGCAGGGGGGTGGAACTGTATGGTCCTTAAGATCCCTTCCAACCCAAACCATTCTGTGATTCTACTACAAATACTTTCTGTTCCGTGGTCTGGTGGTTTCTCTGGGACTGGCTGCTGCACGTGTTGTGTGAGGAACTGGAGAGATCATTGAAAAACTGCTCTTTCCACACCAGCTGTTATTAAACTGGCTCTTCTCTCTTGCCATGAGCCTCCTGTTAGGGGACCAGGGAGTGTTTTACAGTCCCTGGGGAGTTAAAGATGAGCCTCAGCCTTCGCAGCGTGTTGGACTCAACTGTTCCTAATGTGCTTAGAGGGGCAGCATTAGGGGATTAGTGTTAGCAGAGCTGCTGCCTGCTGTCTGCAAGGCAAAGGGCTCCTCCAGCCTCAGCTTATTACATTAAATGGAGGAAAGGGCATTACCACAACTCCTGGCTGACATTTCCCAGTGCCCAGCCAGCAAGCACGGGGAAGCAGGGACCCTGGAGCACTGGTAATCCCCATCTCGGCCCCAGGGATGCTCTCAGAAATGTCCTCCTCCTCCCCTGTCCTTCTGGTCACCTTAGAGACAAATGACACTGCTGGCACTGCAGGATGGGAGCAAGGGATGCAGCCCTGGGAGGCTGGAGCTGTCTCCATGGATGCTTTCAGTTTATCATAAAATCATAGAGTGGTTTGGGTTGGAAAGGACCTTAAGATCATCTCATTCCAACCCCCAGTATAAAGGCACTGGGTGCTCTAGAGCCTTGTACAGCCTGCTCCCTCTTTTCACAGGCTCCCTTCCCTTTCCCTTTACCTCTGCCTGGATTTTATTCCCCTGTTTCAGCCCTTGATGCCACCTCAAAACACATCCTTGGTACCGGGGGCTGCAGGGGACATGCAACAACCCCAGCCCTGGCCCCTCCACTTGGTACTTTGACACTGCCACCTTTTTCTCCTGTTTCTTTGCCCTCTTGTTTTTGTACGTGTTCAGGCCTGACCTCTTCTAAAAAGGTCTGTTGTTCTCCAGCACAAAAGATGCCCTTTGGGTGCTTGATGTGGCCCAGGAGCAGAGCAGTAGCTATCCCACTGCACTGGTGGATGCAGACAAGGGCTGGAGGTATCTCTTTCCTCCAGGAGGGTTAAATTTCTTCCCAGGCAATTGTTCCCGCTCTATCCCTTGACAAAAGAGGTCGGTTTTTGTTGTTAATCCCCACTTTATGGGCAATTAAGCAAGGCAAAGGGCAGAGAAGTGCCTTCCCCAGCAGAGGGAAAGGAGCCATCCAGGGTCATCGGCTCCAGAGGGGTCTTTCCTGCAGGGATAACACAGGGAAAGGGTCTCTTGCAGTGACTGGAGCGCGTTCTGTGTAAAATCTCTTTAATTGTGTAGTTTGGAGCCCTCTCCTGCCAAGCTTTTAAAATATGCATATCCTGGTGAGAGCACACGGCGGCTCCAGCGCAGCCCGAGGGAAGCAGGGCTTTGTTTTCCCCATTTTTAAATGCTCTAACAAGTGATCTCTGGGTGGGCTGCAAACACGGGAGTGCAAATGGACAAAGAGGGTACAAAAAGTAACTTATTTTGCCCCTCAGTTTGCTGTCTGTGTCGGGAAGGAGAGCTCAGAGCACCAGCAGCCTCGGCAAGGACAGTCGTGTGGGCACAGGGAAATAGGGGATTTCTGGTCATCTTTGTCATAGATGGCCTTTAAGGTCCCTTCTGACCCAAAACATTCCATGATTCTATAATTATAGGGTGCTGTGGGCAGGGCAATATTCTATAAATTGTCTCCTTCACTGCTCTCCTGCTCTGGGTCCCACCCATAGTCTGAATGGGGTCCTTGGCTCTGGGGGTGTTGCAGAGCTGGAGGATGTGTTAAGAATGGGATGTTCCTGCCTTTTCCCGTTTTTCTGGGTGCTGTTGACACGGCAGAGGTCTGGGCTGTCCCAGTGGGTGCTGCTGTGGGTGCAGGGTGGGAGCTGAGCACAGAGCCAAAGGTGGGAGCTGGACACTGAATATGGAATGATGGAGTGATGTGCTTCTTTCCTTTGGAAACAGCCCTGGGAATGTGGTCAGCACCACTTTGATGAGGATATTTTGGGGCAGGTGCCCCGAGGTGCCTCAGCCCAGCTGGGAATCACTTCTCTGGCAGTGGTGGAGGGGAAGTGGTTTGACTTCATTTTTGGGGGTGGTGATAGGAGAGTTCTTAGGTCAGAAGTGAGACTGACATAAGGAGGGGGGGTCCAGACCTCGTGTAAGGCAGAACCATCCCAGGGAGGGGACTCATTCCCTGCCAGGGGGTCCCTGCAGAGCAACCCCAGCCCTGTCTCCCCAGTCCCTCCTGGCTCTTGCTTCAGCCAAAGCTCTCCCAGATCCTCTGTGGTTGGGCCTGAGATGTAACTGAGACCTTTTACTCCCATACTTGGCTTCCCAAACAGGAAAATGAGTAATGATGTCTTTGTCAAAGGGATATTTATCCCACCTCATGGACATGAGTTGGCTGCTTTGCCTGGGAAGGTGTCAGGGCTCCTGCTCTTTGTCACTCAGAAAATCCCAGTTTTTGCTCAGGAGAACCATCCCCTGTGTGGGATGGTTC